ACAATCTATTAAAATAATTTGGAGATTTCTAAGTGGAATATTCACTTATATATTTGACTGTAGAGATATTCTCCAATTTATATATATAGAAAAGCAAAGACAAAACAACTCCATTATGATCATTCTGTGGAAAAACAAAACTAAAATCAAAGAAAAACATAGATACTTGCTGCCTGAATGTTTAGGTTGATGAAATATAATGAACAATTAATGAATAGAATGGACATGCTTGAATATCCTTACTTCCCTTCGTAAAATAGCCGGACCTTTAAGAATATTGAATGAAACTTACAGTGCCAATTTTGTGCACATTTTTTGTTTTATTTATTCATTTTTTTGGGGGGGGATAGTTACTTATTAAGTCTGATTTTTAAAGTTAGGATTCTTTCAATGTTAAAAGGAGATTTTTAAATGACTGATTATGAGATAGCTAAAAATTAACAGACCAGTCTTTTAAGTGACCACTGTATATTAATTATGTGTTAAATCATCCATGGTATTAGTATAGAGTAAGCCATTAGTGCTGTTAAGACTGTATTACACAGTTGACTAAACAGTTGATTTTTATAGTTCTGTTTTAGACAACAGAAAACCTGTTGAGTTTTAAGGGTTTATGTTAAACAGTTGGCTAAATATCTGACCACAAAAGATTATTCAGTTTTCTATTAGAATAAATTATTATGAAATAATTTTCCCTTTATAGTTCCTGAATAATTATTTCATGATCTAGAATAGCTAAACAATCAATAATGTTTCTACTACTAATTTATGTTAGATGCCTTTGTTCTTCCAATAAGCATATGACTATTTGAAAAAATATCAACATTTCTAATATCTTCTTCTATATACTTGACCACATAAAATTAAGATCTAATCTGAGTATGAATTTATTTTAAACTCTTCTGTTGAATGGGGTTTATTTAAGATGTTTGGCTCTATCAGAGTTGAGACAGCTTCCTAAGACAACTGCATATGAGGGTCAACCAGTGAGTCTGTGCCACTATTACACAACTGTAGCAAGATACTTCAATTAAATATTTCCCTTATCCAATTTCTGAAAATAGAGAAGGGTAGAAAATTATAGAAATCAAAGATGTTCACAGAGGTCATTCTGAACCCCTTAGTTCCTCATGATTAAAAACAGAATTGAAAGCACTTACAACTATAAAGGAACTAGAGTCTCCGTAATTGTCAATGCTATTTCACCATGTGGGTACAGAGCATGTGTGTCTATGTATTTGCAACTTTAAATGCCCACTAGATAATTCTCTGATTATTATATAATTGATTCCATAAAGTCATTAAAACAAATTCTGTCATTTGAATAAATTAGACATCTTATTACACCACATACTCTTTTGGTAATATTAATCAGGAACATAACTGAAACAAACATAATATACATGAGTTAATGTTCTATGAGATCTAGTAGACAATAACAAAGCTTACCAATAAGCTGAAGTGACTCACGCCCCACACAAATAAACAGTAAAATGACTTAGCTTCATATTTCAGGAAAACTGCCATTTATCATGTATCACAGATCTACTCAAATATTCTTGAAAGCAGTTATGTTAAATTTACAAAATTTAAAGCTCCATTGTCATAGTTGCTGACCTCTTTTCTTTGGTTCCTATGTAATGTACTTTCAATTCTAGTTTTTAAATCATGGGATGTTTAGGAAGAAATTGACTTCTCTATAATTGTTTGATAAACCATAGTAGATCTGTTTCTAAGGAGTTATTCTATACCAGTAGAAGGGCTTGTACTTGCATGGAATTTTCCACTTACATAGTACTTTAAACATCTGTAAGAATAATTACAGTTTGACAGTTGGAACTCTGGTTTGAAGAGAATTCTAAAGTAATTTCCATTAAATTAGATAATACATGAACATTGTACACTACTTTGGCAGAGATAATTTTTCATTTTGGTATTCCTATTTAAAATTCAAAGTTCTCTTATTTAAAATGTAAATGAAGTCTTTAGTTTTAAATAGTCATAAGGATGATCTGCACCGTATGAATACAAATCAATGCTAATGTAATATATTTTAACACCTGGGCAATTGCTGAAATGAAGTTGGAAGGTACATTATTCTTATACTTCCCATCTTGAAATATAAAATTTTACACTACACAAGGCTGTGTACATTTGGACAATTTTGTTCAGCATGTGAAAAAAAGGTGATTCAACTGTGAGATAAGTTATGCTCCATGTATATATAATATGTCAAAATACACTCTACTGCAAGTATATCTAAAAAAGATTTTTAAAAACGTTTTATATACATCAAGTATTGTGACTAAAAAATGTTTATAAATAATTTAAAATGATTCCATAAGAAAAATAATCATTAAAAACTACTTTATATCTCCCTAATAAGCATCCTCCTTCCTCCTTCTCCCAGAATATAATTGTAAATGACCAATAGCATTGGAAAAAGCATTGACTCTGCAGAAAAAAAAATGATTTCCACCACAACTTATCCAACAACCCACCAGTGACAGAAAGATGGGCATTTTTGTACTTTGTACTTAATCCTTTGTACTTCTATGTAAAACCTTGGGTAAATCTTTTCCCTCCTTTTAATGTTTCTTAATTCTTTACCGACACAAGGACACCACTGCCCAACTTTGGTTCCTTGAAAGGGTAGAGATTGTATACATAGAGTGATTGATACAGTACATTTATTCATTCAGTAATAATTGACTATATGCTTACTTTGTGCTAGTCACTATGATAAGTATGGAAGATAGTGCTATCAGCAAACATGCCCCTGACCTCCTGGAGTTCAGGGTGTATGAGGGAGAAACATCAACAGAAAGAGAAAATGAATAAAAAAAAAAAGCAATTTCATATATTGGTATTTTTTTTAAAAAAGGAAAATAGTATGACATATCAATATTGTAATGGAGATATATAATACTGGCATGGCTCATAACAGCTGTTTATTTACATTTTTTCCCCCAACTCTACATTTAGTCACATTCAGTGACATTACATTAGTAGGTTAAAATTGGCTATGGTGGGGATGTTTACTCCAGAGAAATTTTCGAGGGCACAAATTGGGCCCTTCCCACCCTTCCTCCCTCATTAACTCAACCCACTGCCTCAAAAAGCCTGCTCTTAAATGTTTGCCAGCACATTTCTAGATGTAATGGTGGCAGATGCAGGGATTGTAAATAGTTAGAATGATTAAGGACCCAAGAGGACAAGGCATTTGACTTGTAATCCTCAGAATAAGGGGATAGTCCTTGCCAAAATCCAGGGGGCCGTGCCCTTAGGTAAAAACAACAGTAAACACAAAGCTTGGAAAGGTAGAAAAGAAAACAAGATAATTTATCAGTGACTATTTATGAGAAGGTACTAAATTGGTCAGTATGTTAGGGAGTGACCAGGTTTGTTAACTGTTAGATAATCTCTCAATAGATAACATTAATTCTAAAAACTGGTTTGCCATCCAGATAATCTGGAACCTAGAAAATCCCATTAACTTATGTAACATCAGCTACATCCAGTTATATAACTCTCTGCTAAGACTCCTTTGATCTAATCTTTAGAACAAACCCAATAGGCAAGTTTTCCTTAACTCCTGTTGCTGTTTATCAAAGAACCTGGGATTAGAACTTTGGACTCACTGACCGCAGGGCCCACACTGACTCAGGGCCCACACACAGTCTAATGTACTAGTTTTAGTTAGGAATTTGGAGAAGAGAAAGATGAATAAGACAGAAAGCAGAGTGCATTGAAAATACTCAGTTAGCAGTAAGATAGCAGAAGGGAGAATAAATTGGACTCGGGTTTTCCAAGGAAAAGTCCAGAAACTGGACCAAAGGTCAGCAGTCTGAAGAAAGTATTTGCCAAAGAGGGATAACACAATAGTGGAGCCAGGACTGACGCAAACTTTTTTTTACACTTGCCCAGAGAGGATGTTGATTTCAATTTGTGAGGTCCCTCTGCCCTACATGATCTTTGGCTCATCTTTCAGAAAATTAACTGTTTGTAGGCCTGACATTTCATGTGAATTTCAAAATGATTTCATTCGTATTAATTGAAAATATCTTATCTATAAAATAGCTGTTCTAATTAGATTTTGTAACTACTGTGCATACTTAAAATTAACAACACTTATCTCACTGAGTCAAATATTATGATACTAATTACCATTTGCTTACTTTTTGACACAAGTGGGTTGACACAAATGATTCATGCCAGTTTTTCTCTAGTTTTTTTGACTCTTTAGAAATGTTTTCATGAATCACCTTATTAATTATATTGTATTGATTTGTTTTCATTACTAAAACATACAGCTAGAACTTGATGCTAATGTTTAATGTTCTACCTCGCCCATAATCCATGTTCTATTTTGCTCACAAGATAAAAGTGTTAAGTATCAAGGGATATCTTCTAATACTATGTTGGTGGTTTTCATTTCTGATGTAGTCAGTGATTTTGCAGTAGAATTGCTAGGAAAAACTCAATAATCCACAGCAATAAAAATAGTGATTCATTTTCATACCCAAAACATGCTATAAAATATGCCTTGTAATTGTAGTAAACAGCATCATATTCAAATAAGTCTTAATTATTTGCATTTTTAAGACAGGGAAGCAGATTTAATACAAATATTTCAAGCAAATTGGAAAATAAGAAGGCAAAGGATATAGGATTCCTTGTACCTGTTGCTTAAATGTTATCTAAGTGTATTTCCTTTTATAAACCCAAAGTAAAATATCAATTTCAAATATGGAAAAAATAAAATCTAGCTTTCACCTGCTTATGACAGAAGCACTTTAGACTGGGTTGGGGACACTAGGCATGCGATGAGGCTGGGGTGAAAGATCACAGGAATAAAGGGTCCTGTTATTGAAAGTTATGAGGCCTAGTGAGCACACCCAAGGATTCAATGCACCTGACTGTGAGTTAGAGATTTTCTTCATGAAGATCTAACCTGATACACACACCTGTCCACACTTAGAAAAGACATTTGATCATACCTGAAGTTCAGGTCTTTAAAGGAGAATTGAGTTTCAATGATGCCAGTAGTTTTCACTCGCGAATGCAGAACATCTTGCTCATTTGGCACATACCCAGGAGCTGTTATTCTATCTAAATCATTAAGGTAGCTAATAAAAACAAAGGGAGACAGCATTTATATACATTTAACTTTGTACTGGAGAATACCACAAGCTGCAGAGCCTTGAGTGTGGCACACAACTGCCCCCATGGGGCCTCTTCTAAAGGAAACCTAATAAATACCTCTTAGCCTGTATTTTAAGAGGCTTGCATGATAAATTTGCTCGTATGCAAATAGGAGTATAAAAGAAAATTTTTCTTTACAGGGTTTGAAATATATATATATATATATATATATATACAAATATATATACATGTATAAATGTATATTGAATTGGTTGGCTTGTAATGCTTGTAATGATAGTTGCTAGTCATTCCTCAAAATTCTGCAATTTGATTTTAGGCACTTTAGATTTTAAGAGAGGAATAGGTTTAAGTATCATAAATGGAAGCCTGCTTATTATTTTTGTGTGGGTTACCCCTTTAGGACTCATCTATTTCCATTAAGTGCCATGATGATATCCAGATAGCTCAATGAAGGAAGTACCTGGTTTTGGCTTGCTGGCACATACTGGAACTAACTCATGAACTTACTGACCTACCCCTGATAACGCTACTGGGATCAGAAAACCCAATGCTATTATACCCACTCCCATTACCCTCTGTCAGTGTGTTGTTGGGCACTGAACACTTCAAGAAGACATGCTAAAGATTCCTGCTTTTAAACTGAATGCTGTCTTTTTTTTTTTTTTTCCTCACAGGATCTTGGGGTGGTGATGAGCAGGAATAAATCTGATTAAGCTCTGTATTCTATGAGTCTGTTAGATTATAGGAAGAAAACTGCTATTACCTCTTCATCCCTGAAACTGGATTACATCTGTGAGTTAAAAGTGTTTTATTGCTTAATTTTTTTTTTAAGCCAGTATTCTAGACTTTTGACACTAAGGCTGCTTACCGATATGTTCACAAAAAGACTATGGACATTTAAAACACAAATAGTGATAGATGGTAATGTTTTTATGGCAAATGAGACCTTCACATTGAACCAAGTTTGCATAATATCACCCAAAGAAAGGTTAAAATTAGTGCACTGCCATTGAGACCGAGTTTGAGAAATAGGATTCAGCCAAATGTTAGTTATTGTTAAAAAAAACTGAATTTGTTCAGGGTTTAAATTGAGGAGCTCTTAGCATCTAGACCAATGACTTATAACTTTATTTTATAATTAAAATATATACTTAAAGCAATATAGGCAATTTATTTTTGGAGGATCTTTCACTTTTAAGCAGAAACAGAATAAGAAGGTATACCAAAGGGATCTTGGTCAGGTGCAAAAAGAAAATCACATCTCAGAAACTTTATAGTGTGAAAATTTATCACAATTTTTAAATTCTAATGAAGATTCTTTTCTTTAAAAAAAGAATGATAAATTGAGATATAAGTGTATCCAAGAAAATACTGACAGATTCTGCTAGTTGTTTTTATTTATTTTCTATTTGGAGAAGCAAATCTCTTAAGGGATTTTCCTATTGGCTTAGTCTACATATGTAGTGGGTATACTGTTGATTGTTTGGTTCATGCCTGAGTAAAAAATTAACTAAACAAGCATACCTATCAAAGTATAAAGTGGATTTGTTTTAGTGATAGCTAAATAAAAACTTTAGTAAAGACACATTTTAATGCACTTCTGTTTGTGTGTATAAATGATTTCAGGAAAAGCAGAGGCCTTAGCAGACTGAACAATTTGCATTTAAAATGCTTACTTTAATAAACAAATGCAGGATTTGCGTGCTCTAGCCCACAATTTAAAGCCCAAACCAAACAGAGGTCCTTAAAAGATGTGGTTCAAATCACATAAAAATACTTCTTTTTCTAGTCACGTAAAAATAGTATTTTTCCTGGTGAAGTTCATGTTAATTCTTAAAGCATGTGGATTAGTACCCTAGAAGGCCCCGCTCAACCATGCAGTCCTAACTGAAATCTTTAACCTGCTTGATACCACTGTCATGTCTCCTTTATTCATTTTAAAATTTTTTTTTGCAAGAACTGATGGGTTGTTATGTTGCCAGCCACAGCAATCCTTTTCTTTACCCTGATTAGATTCAATTCTTTATTAGCCCCTTTGGAGGTTCCGTAGATTTGAGAGAATGACAAATATCTTACTTTTGATACACCACACACACACACACACACACACACACACACACACACACAAGGCAAAAGAGAAATGTGGAAACTTTGCTCTATATAAAGACTGTAAATTTTATATTTAATTTTACAATGTGAGTATAATTCAGTATTTGAAAAAAAATCTGCTTTAAATTTTTGAAAGAAAGCAATGTCTGGTTAACAATTTTTCTGAAACAGAGACATGGGGGGAATTGCCATTTCTGTTACTTTGTGGCTATGCACAATTATCTGAGTAGTCAAAAAACTGTGATAATATAGGCAACATTCCCAAATCTATGCAAGTTGATATTGTTTAGCTGTATTTAACTTGAAGAACAGATAAATATTTTAGTATGAATCTATATTTGCATAGAAAATATTTTAAACAAAGAATAATGGAAATTTTGAAAAGTCTACTAAAATGTTATTTTGTGTTTGCCCCTTTTAGATACGTGAATTGTAAATAGCTCTTTGCTATCAAAGAGGAAATAATTTGGTAAGCACAGTGATATCATAATTACAAGTATGTTTCTTTCAATATTGTAAGAAACATCTAATGATTAATTCAAATCTAGTATCCAAATTATTAAATATAGTTTACCCATACCAATCTTGACCAAACAACATTTTATGGGAATATTAGATAAGTTAGATCCTAACACATTTTGACTGCCTTTACCAATGATTAGAAGTAAGCAATGTTTTACTATACTGCAGGGATCCCTTTTACTATTTAAAAGTGGTAGATGCTGAAACACTTATGCAAGGAGTTAACCAGTTGATGTACTCACAAAGTGGCATCCATGCTGACCTTCACCAAAGAAATTAGAACAGCACTTTTCTCCAAAAGCAATGTGCCCACTGGAATTTAGGGTCTCTAGTAATGATGAATGGGCAATTACTAAAGACTACACCCAGTCTTGGAATTTATATGGTTCTTTTTTCTCCATAATCATTCTGTTCATCAGTGAATAAAAATCTGAAGTGTCTTGCAAGGTTCATTATTCTGTCCTCAAATGATCTTTTATTTATTTCACTTTGCACTACTTTTGTTTCTTGTTCACTTTATTAAGTGCTGTTAGTGTGTTCTGTTTATACATTCTTATGCATTTAAGAAATATAAAATGGGAAATTAGATAATATTTACATACATGTGCACACATTCTTGGAAACATAATGGTGGGATAGGTTAAAAAACATTTGCTAAAAGGAAATTTGAACTCATGTTAACAATGAAATTGTAAGTAGTGTTAAGACTGCCTAAATTTCTTTTTTTTTTCACTTCAACTAATTTTATTTATTTTTTATTTATTTCTTACATACGTGACAATAGTGGAGTGCATTACATTCATAATTATACATTCATACACAATTTTTCATAACTCTATATATAAAATATGTTCATGCCAAATTATGCCATTATACATGAGCTCTGCTTACTGGATAATGTAGATGAGAGAATCATATCATCATTCTGAGACTCCAAAAGAATCCCCCAGTATACAAATGTTTTGGAAATCATTATATTATTTTCTTCTAGAATTCTCTATTTTTCTCATTAATCCAATGAACTAGAGCATGTGTCAACAATAAAATCATCCTAGGAGATGATTTCAGTAACATTGATTGAATAGCCCAGAACCTCAGTATGCATGTCACCAGTCTCTGCTAATTTTGAGCAGGATGTATAATTGTTTATTCTTTTTAATTAAGAGAAGATATATGATACACACACACACACACACACACACACACACATATTTGGGCAAATAGTTTCAAAATTGGTTATTTTTACATCTAATTTATGCCATTTTGTTATTTTTCTTTCTCTTTAATTGCTTTGTATTTTACTTTGATAATATGTAAAGCCATTTACTTTCTTCACTTGTAAACACAAATATACAGTACACAGAATAATAAAATTGTGTTTCAACTGAAATTTCTGTCCAGGTGAGTTCACTTACTAAGCTGCTGAGTCATTGAGCTGGTATTCAGATGCCCTTTCAAAGCAAGCTTGAATTCCTGGATCTTCCCAGAGTCGTTTTATTATCTCAGCCAGTTGAGATGTCATAGTGCCATCTTCCAGGGTATTAGCCATTGTACAAAGTTGTTGCTGGTCTTCCTAGAGAAATGTTTTAGTTGGAAGGATAAAAATGTGTAAATTTGCAATCGCATTTTGCTCTCTAATAGAAATTTTATGATTTTTATTTTAATCCTTTTGATGATGATTCTACTGAATGTCTTTTTAAAATGTATTAAGATCTACAGAACTGAAGTTCCTTATAATGGTTGGTGGAAGTCCAGTAAAATATTCCTCTGCAAATTTATAAAATGTTCTATGGAGAAATTGCTATATTTTGGTATACATTACTGACTCTTGAAGATGATATAAAAATGATAACTCTTGGTATATATTTAGTTATCAGGTATGAGAATACTAGCTAAAAGAATAATACAACTAAACTGGCATTTTGTTTTCCTTAGATTATAATCATACTTTTTTTTCAAGAAAAAAAAAACATGCCAAGAAAGAATTATAGTAAGAACAGAAGATAAAATTCAATATTTTAAATTTGTATATACTTAAAAATTAATATATGATATTAGTTGCCACCAGAAACCTCTTTGTAATCTTATAAGTAAGCAATGATAAACACTTAGATCTACAAAAAAGTTTTTGAAAATTCCCAGAGGTGTTTTGAGTACTTGTCTTTGGAGCAAGTCAATAGAGCAGAGGTGAGAACTGATTAAGAAATAAAAGAAAAGCAAGTATTGTGTTAGCCTTCTTACCATGATATTTAGAAGTTTCAAGGGAAGAAGGAAATAGAAGTTTACTAGTAAAAGAGCTCAAGTTACAGTACCCTACAATTTATTTAAACTAATAATTAAAACTCTTTAGTGACAAAAATATTTGTTTTAAAGATTAGGAATTTGAGTTTCAGAGTCATAACAATAGCTCAGGCAAATGAAGGAGGAGTCTGGGCTCAAATCCTGGCTGTTAGCCTCCAAACTCCCATTCCATCCGGCTTGGGTTTGTAATCTTTCTGCTGAATATTATCACAATATTAAAGATCACATAAACTCTTTCCCATAATCTAAACAATAACAATGAGACAGATGCTCTGTTTTCTCCATTTACATGTGAGGATTGAAAACTCTCAAAAAAACTTAGCTTGCCAAACCAACAAACACAGTAAGTATCAGAAGAGGAGTTAAACTCAAACACATTTTGTATAACGTCAGGTTGCTATGAATGAATTAAGAATCTGCTGCCCTGCTGATGATTGAATTTATTTTTATTCTAAATTTATTATAGGTTTGTTTTATCATTTTTATAAAAAAGCTCTCTTTGTGTAAAAATCAAGGATATGTCTCTTAATATCTGTTAAGACTAAAAAGCCTTATTTCATCTTTCTTCATAATCAGGTTTTATTATTATAACCAAATTGATGAGATGATCATTGGGCCAATTGTTAAGTGGCCCCAAACAGGACTTGACACCATTTCCTTGCATCAACTCAGGATAAATTTGAAAAACCCTTCCTATTAGTGAGACATGAGAGAACTGCAAATCCAGTGAAATATGATCTGGTCACTTTTGCTGGCAGCAACCTCTGTGGCTCCTTACACTATTAAAGTGCCTTTTAGGACAAATGATGCAATGAAACAGCTGCTCACACAGTTTTATCCCTAAAGGGAACAAATTACATGCCTTGTCAGCATTCCTTTAGAAACCAAACAAGTACACTCTTCCCTTTCTTTCAAAATATTCCATTTTCAATTAAAATACATTTTATTTGTATAGGTATCACTGTTTTTTTAAATCATAAATAGCATTTAATTGAACAAAGTACATCTCAGTTCTTGATGTGCTTGTGTACACACTGAAGCATTACTTAAGGAATCAAAATTTATATTTTTAAAGATTTGCATCTACCAATCAAAATTTGCATTTTAAAAATATATAAAACCAAAATTCATATTTATTTTGAATTATTCCAGATTATTTGACTCCTGCATTTTAGAAACTCCAGTAATTTCCCACCAATCTAAAAAAAATAATCCATATCCTCTTCTATGGCTCACAAGGCTCTACATGTTTTGATACACATCTTCTTTTCCAACCCTATTTCCTGTTCTCCTGTCTCTTCTATCTCCTCACTCTCTTCAAGCCTCAAGAAATACTGGGCCTCTTGCTGTTCCTTGAACTCCACCAGCTCCTTTGCAGAGGATTTGGATGCCTGTCCCTCAGTGCTTTTGTTCAAGGCTCCTTAAGGAAGCCTTATCCTACCACTCTTCCTTCTATCATTTTCTATCCCCATACCCTTTCTTATTTTTCTTCACAGAGCTTAGTACTATATATAACACGTTATTCTTCATTTTGTCTTTTGTATTTGACTAGAAGCACATGAAGGCAGAAATTATTTGGTTTATTTCCACATTCTTAAGATGGAGAACAGAACCTAACATAGTACATGTCCCTAAAATGTTGTTGAATGAATGAGTCCAAATGATAAATATGCTCATTAGCCCTGAGCTCAGGTTTAAAGAAATGTTAAGAGATCTCCAATAAGCTGCCATATTTTTTCCAATAGTGCCTTGAGGGTTGGAATGACATCTGAAGAAGATAATCTATTTCCTTATCACATATGTAAAGAAACTCAGGAATTATGGTGACTCTGAAATGGCTTTTACTCTCCAGGTGGTGTAACTCTGGTTCTTTAGCTGTCTGCTCCTTAAACATTCTGGAGTTACATTGTGTGCAAAACGCAATACACATTTTTATACTTTACCCAGGACTTCTTTATCAATATTACTCATCTCGGGTGGTTTTAAGTTGTCATGAAATTCATTCTCAACCCTGAAGTCATATTCCCCAAAATCATATCAAAGAAAGGAAAGAATACATACATAGCCGAATAATTTTGAGAAATGCTATATTAAAAATACCAGATTTGGTCAACTAGTGGATTTACAGTCTTTGAGTACTAATAAGGGTTGTAAATGTTGTAAGTTATAGTATGTGTATATTCCAAATTTCTTTAACCATAAAACTATGATTGTAGAATACTGAGGAATCAATGTTCACTGATTCGTATTATAGGTTCACTTTGTAAAGTGCTACATCAGAGACAGTCAAACAATATCCAAACCACATAGGAAAACTGTTATAATTTTGTCAGTCCAGTGACTGTTTTAGATGGCCTAAAATATACAATAAGAATATTCAGAAAGGATTAAGTAGAAATTAACTAAGTGTCTTTATTATTTCTAGTTTCCTGGTTCTTTAGCTGTATGCTCCTTAAACATTCTATACTAATAAAGTTGATCTACCAAATGCTAAGCCAAAACAATGAAAAACAAACCTCTTTAGTTGCCCTTCCTCCAACCACACATCTCATCCCTCTTCTCCTCCTCGGCTCCAGTTTCTAAAAATGGTGTCTTTTTACTGTTCTCATTTCCTCAACATACTTCATTGGATTCTAAGTCTACCATTCTTCTACACCTTCTCAATAATTCCCGGTGACACCATATTGCTAAATCCAGTTGATCCTTTTTAATATGCTTCCTTCTTGAACTCCTCTCAAGACATTTCCACTTGAATAACCTCCACTGGGAACACTTCTCTTGAATTCTGTGATTCCATGTAGCTGATTTTCCTTTTCTGTTAATTATTTCACCCTCTCATTTGAAGTTTCCTATACCTCTCAAGTGACTAGAAAATGTTGGAGGACTTTTTCTTTTAAACACTATTATCTAGGTTTTATTCTCCTCAATATAATTTTCTTCTCATTCTAAGCACAAAAATTCCTCCTTTGAGCTTCAACTTCACATTTGCAATTCCTTACATATGTGACTATCTCATAGAATGTACCAATGCAATAGTTCTAAAAACCATGACTACTTAATGTTTCCATTTTTAGTAATTCTGCAAATAAGGATCTAGAGCTCCAATTCATCTGTGCTGCCCTCATGAAATAGCAGATGCTTTGTAATTACTTGTTAGATATCAAGATTTCCTCTCCTGAGGACAAATATTATTATCATCTCAATTATTGCTTGAGTGCTCGGTGTATTTCCAATATTGAACAGAATGTGGGCCACAAAAACAATTATTTAATTAAAAATAATATTTTTCAAATGATGTCTGATGTATAGATTTCAATACATAAATTTTAAAATTTTACATTATATTACATTTTCAAAATGATTTTTGAAAAATAACAAGATCTAATATTTACTAAGAACTTACATTATGTTGTATTTTGAATAAGTGGATTATTTATGTTTTTGCTTCCTGTTTTAACAGTCATTTTGATTTAAAGAGAAAATCACTAACATTTGCTGTATGAAGAAACTAAAAACTGGAAAGTAACTTTTCCTTTCTTAGAGAACCAGTTTACTAATACAGTTTATGTAAATTTTTTATCAGGCGTTTCTTCAAATGGCAATCCATGCAATAATGCACATGGTTATGGAAAAATACATTCACTTGTATAAATAAACAAATCAAAAGCTAATCAGAACTCTGAAAGTAATACATATAGTGTTCAGCAATTAATCTGTTGAGTAAACAGTTTCAGTCAGGTAGAGAATGTATTAATCCTACAATTAAACACTAACGGTGGTAATTGAAACTGCAAGTGTTTACATCAGTTGAAATGAAAATATGAATTAGGTAATGCTTGACATCAGTGATGTTTTGATATTTGAGGATATAAGTATTTCTGGGAAGTCATGACAATTTCTTACGGTTGCTTAACTTGCATTCTTTGTACCAAAGTACAGTTTGAATGAATTGTACTCTTTATTTGCTGCATAATGCCAGCAATGTAGAGAATCTTATTTTCATTCCACTTGTATGTCAAATCATTAAGACTCTTAACCAACAGATTCCAAACATTTAGTGAGATCTGGCTTCTCTGATTTAGGGAACACTGGGCCATATGAAGCACACATATTTAAGAAAAGTAGCAACAGAGCTGGGCATGGTGGTGCATGCCTATAATCCCAGTGGCTCAGGAGGCTGATGCAGGTGGATGACAAGTTCTGAGCCAGCTTCAGCAATTTAGCAAGGCCCTGAGCAACTTAGTGAGACCCTGTCTCAAAATAAAAAAATAAATTGGCTGGGGATATGGCTCAGTGGCTAAGCGCCCCTGGGTTCAATTCCTAGTACCAAAAAACGAAAGAAAAAAGTATCAAAAGGCAAGGTTGTGACATGCAAATTCAAACATCACTAAATCACTGTCAAAGGAATTTGGAGGGTACAGGTAATTCAGTAACTATTATTGCTGGGGGAAAAATATTCCTTATTATAACAAGCATATGAACAACAACAACAACAACAAAACAATTTCTTTATAAGGGAAAGCACTGTAGTAGAAACCAGAAGTGGTTTTTAACCCTAAACTTGAGCTATTTGAGGCAAGCCAATTAATCATCTTTGGAGCTTTTCTTTCTCATCTTTAAATTAAGGAAGCCATATTAGGTTATCTCTTAAAGGCCAGTTTAAAATCTTAGGACCCTAGGAAAATTCAAGGTGAGAGATAGGTGAACTACCCTTAGATAGAACATAGTCACTAAGTTTCAGAATGATAAAGAATAATAGGATCTTGGAGTTCAGCTCCTCCAAGTTCTCTTTACCCAGGTGAGAAGGAAAGTGGATATTGAAAACAAGGTAACTCAGTGGTGTTAGCTATAGGGAAAGATAGACATGGAAGTCAGGAGACCCCTGGTCTAGGCCTTATAAACTATCCATGGGAATAGCATCCTTAGCATTTCCTCCTTTTATGGAGAAAAAATGACAGAAGAAAGGGGATTTGTCTTTCCATTTAAAATTAACAATACAGAAAATACCTTTTTTTTTTCATCCTAATGACTTATAGGGTCATGCGGCTTTCTTCCTTATTCTTACTATACTGTTCTTATATTTTTATTCTTTCTATAACAAGATATCTAAGAATTACATTGGAACAGTTCAGTTGATATCCCCTGGGGGTAACCAGATGCTCCTGGAGGGACCATATGGACATGGATGAGCTATTCTTATAGATTATAGTCAATTACTCTTTTTATGAGGGGCATCAACAATTGGTCTTCCAGTAATAATATATGTTTAATTTGCCAACTAGAAGAATGGCCTTATATGTTTTCATATAAACTTTTAAAGTAAGTGAATTTATATTTATTGTAATGTGAGGTAATTATACAATATAAAAAAGAGAAAAAAATCAAATTATTTAATGTTACCTTAAAAACAAAACTATCATTACTGGAGTATATTTAGTATGCAAGTATTTTATTTATTTCTATAATTTTGAATTCTTTTCTAAAAAAGTTACATTGTAAAATAAGAGTTTCCCTTTTGCTACATAAGCTTTGTAATTGTCATTGAACATTAATGATAATTGTGGTGTTAATATTAAAAACCTTAAAAAATTCTCCTCGAGACGTCTCACTTTTAAACTAAAAAAAGTGTAGGGATATTTCACATTGAATTTTATGCAATAAATCCTTTTATATAAATAAATTCTTTTTTAATCCTTAAAAATATTTTTCTTCATTATAGTGCAATATTCTATATTAGATTTGATCCTTAGGAAAACAGTTAATGTTGAATAAATTTTATACCACACAGTATAAAAGAGAAATTTTATTTATAGGAAAATAAGAAATTTAAATCTGAATAGATCTAATGTTTCAAAAATTATGATTTCATGTTCTTAAATTTTTGATATTGATTAGAACCTCAAACATTTTAATTTCTAACGTCTTATGGCTCAAACTCCATTGAATGACCTTAATTGTCATTATTTATGTACTTACAGCACTTCTGGGATTTCCATAATCAATCCCAAGGGTGGTCATGGCTTTCACAATGGCTAGGATGGATTGCAATGTGTTACTGTAAATTACTGCTTTGAACTCCATGCATTCTTGCTCACTATAACCATTCTTGTGGATGATCCTATAATTTAAACAAGAAAAGGTTTTTGTGAGTTCCAAAATTATTGTAACACTAAAGCACAGACACAATAAATTCCTAGAATGAAATAACTGTATATATTCATTAAAAATATGTATAGGCTAAGCCCCAGTGACTTTATGGTTTTGAATTTTTATTATCATTATTCTTTAATACAATATTTTCTTTCTGGGCTACCCATGCTAAATACAAAGAGTATATAGAAATTTTTTCTAGGTAAAACTACTTCTAAAATGGCTAAATTATGATTTTACTTAGACTGTGGATTTCTTTTACTGGAGAAAAATTTCCATATTTCCAGGATAAAGATATATTAAGATACTGAAACCTGGTATAGTGTTTACAGCATAATATTTAGAGGAAGTAAAATCATTTAGTAGGGCATTCATGTCTTTTCCTATCACTTAAGACACCCTGGAAAATAGGAGTGCCTACTTTCTATTTATAGCTTTAACAAAGGCATTTCTTTTTTAATTTTTTTACCTACTTTTTAAAAAATGCAGGTAATTGTCCTCTCTTAATTCCTGTCACTCCGTTCTGTGTACGTGCCACAGAGCCTTCGAGTTGAAATAGCCAGACACTTTATTTGGCTGATCTCTTATCTTCCTTCCACTCATTGAGTCACAAGACAAGGTTTTACTAATAGTTTTGGAATAATAATTTAAAATAATTTTGCTCGTGCTTACTGGACTTTTTTTTCTTTTTTTTTTCATTTCGATTGTATAGTTTGTCTTGCTCCTTTCTGTTTTTTTTTTCCCTTATTGATTTTGGAGTGCTATATATTTATTTTTGGCTGTCTTATTTCTAAATATTTTTACTGTATCTGAAGACATAAAAACTTTAGCATAGGAAATAAAATGTGTACAAGTGCCTCTGCTAGCTTTGAAGAAATTAAAACCATCAACTACAGGAATCTGCAACTAGAAAGAGTGATTATTGGGCTTGGCCAGCTGGCTGGCTGACTCACTCTTTCCCTATTTCCTTCCTTCCTTTCTTCCTTCCTTCCTTCCTTCCTTCCTTCCTTCCTTCCTTCCTTCCTTCCTTCCTTCCTTTCTTCCTTCCTTTCCATTTGATTATCAATAAATGCTGCATTTCTAAGTAGGTACATGATCATCTTGCTGCATTTAACAATTAAATAACTTAGATAAACAAAATGCTCAGAAATTATAGAATAAAAAGGTGATATGTCTTTATGAAGAGATCAAGAACAAGTTCATTAAAGAAATCCTGATTAAAAATAAAACTGGAAAATATTTTAAATGTTAAATTAAAATAGTAGTTATGAACAAAGTTGGAACATTTATGTGTTCCTGGTGGAACAAATTCTGATGACTCTTTTTATCAGAAGGCAAAGAAATGTTAAGAAAAATGATAAAAGCAAAATTAAAAATATCCAGTTGAAGTGGGTCTTCAAGAAACATTTTTTTCAGGAGTTGCATACATTGATTTCCATAATACAGAGCTCTCTAAGTTGGTTCCTTCTATCTCTGTTCAAATGAGTAAGCTTTATTGGATATTTTCTGCTACATACTGCATTATTTACTAAAAAGAACGAGTGAATCATACTAGTCTCTCCTCCCCCAAAATATATACACTAGAGCCCTACTATAAAATACTGTATACAATAGCTGTATTATTTAAAATTAAAAATAAAAAAATTAATTGCTCAATCATCCTGGCTGGATTTCAAGTGGTTATTAAAGCCACATGTGGCTAGAAGCTATCATTTTGGAGAGCATAGATATCATCATCAATGTTCTGTTGGAGAATACTATGTTACAGAAAAGAAGAGAATACAAACAGGGTGGTTTTTTTTTGTGTGTGTATGTGTATGTGTGTGTAATGTGGACATTTATAGCAACATCTGCATGTGATGAGAAGCATTATAAAAGAAAGAGAATTATGAACTCTATAAAGAGTGGGTATATGGATGGTGGCAGGAAAGATTTTCCAGGGACAATGATGAGTAGCTGATTATTCAGGTATAAGTAGTTATTCCTACATGGTCAAATGGTCAAATTGTCATTTCTAGATAGTAGTTATTTATAGATGATTCTAGGAAGAAAGATCTGTATGAACATACAGATAATTTCAATTACCAAGCTTTCAATATATATTAAGCACTATGGTAAGTGAAACTCTCACATACGTACGTAATGGCTGCATAATATTACAATTGAAGGATGAATAGATCCATAATTTTATAACCTATTTGGCTGTGTTTTCTCCTAATTCATGGTACTTTATTCTACCTCATATTTTATTAATTAATGGTATAAATCTCCTTATACACACATTTTCAAAATTTGGATATTTCAATTATTTTATTTTTACTTTTGCATGCTTCAAATTGTTATTGAAATAGAAGAAAAGAAATGAAACAAGCAGTAATTTTTATTGTAACCCAATAGTTTCATCATTGACTGGGGTCATTCCCTAATTTAATATATCTGAAAGAATAAGGCTTTTTAACATTTAAAAATATTCTAAAATAGTATTCCCCTTCCCTTTCCTCCCCCTTTTTATACAGTGACAATTGTCCCTTAAAATTTTTTAGCAGGGTCAGAGTTAAAGTTTCACTCATTTATGTTAATTTTTCCATCACTACTTTATTCATTTTAGACCTTGTCATTTTATTTTTAGCACTTTTTTGCCCCTTATTTTTCATTAAGAAATATAGGTCTAGTTATTTAATTATAAAGGACAAAAAAGTATAGAAAACAAAAGCAAAATAAATTGAAATCCATTATAGCAGTAATTTAAGTATGCATTTCATTTCCACATAGGCAAAATGCCAGGGATTAAAAAATATTGTTTCCTCAAATGGATAACTGACATATTTTAAAATGATTTTTGCTTCTGCCTACAGTAATAGGGCCTCTAGATCATTCCCAGATTAAAATAATTAAATCATGGCTGCTTTTAGTATTTATCCTGTTGAGAAGCAAAATTTAAAAGAAAAATGGTAATAGCAAGTATTACTTCTCTGTTAGGCTTTCTCTTGAAGAAGCAAGGGAATATTTGACTAAGAACTAGGATAGCTCTATCACTACTACCTGCTCTAGTAGTGATATGTAGTAAATGAGATTACCAATCAACATTTCTCAAAGCATTTACTATAAGAATGGTCAACTACATGGACTGACATGAAATATTAAACATTTTACATAGTTCTATACTTACTTCATTTGTTTAACGATTGTACTTTTTCCAGATTCACCTGCTCCTGCAACAAAAAGAAGGGAATGTTATCAAGCAATATGCAAAATTGGTATAAATATTAAAACCTGTCACTTTCTCATGTGTAAATTTTAACAGTTGCCTCACCTAATAATATCTCCTAAAGCAGGGGTTGTATAGTGCCAGAACAGAATTGTATCATTGCGATTGAACAATTTGAGAAGCTAATACCTCCTGGCTTTGCAACCCAAGGAAATAGTCCAAAATTTCCTCAGTCTCTAAGTCACTCTTGCTCTCCCAAAATGTTTCCTCATACATCTTATTTTAATAAAAGGCAAGAAGAAATAACAAGAACTAGGCAATAACTTTTTTTATTTCCAGATCTGTTCAAAGTCTATTATAACTAGACGGGTTCTTCTCTCCAGTATCTTATTTACCTTGGTACAATCTCTTGTATTTGAACAAAGAAAAGTTTCTAATAATAGAAAGCAAGCCTAAGGAGCCCATGGGGTGAGGATTCATGTGAGAATGTCACAAAATGCCTTATGCATTCCTAGGTGCAGCCTAGAAGGATGGTGTGGGAGATTGCAAGTAAGAAACCAGTAGTAGTTCTACAGAGAAATATATTGCATTTATCTGGAATGTGTACTTTAATTGATGATATACAATATAAAACTTTAGTTTTTGTATCAAGCATCCTATAGAGGAATAAAAAACACTCATGACTTCTATAAGATAAAACACGAATCCCGGATGAAAGGAGTTGGTTGTTCCTGGTTACATCGCAGGGTCTTTGGAGGATATCTCTTGAATCATGTTTGTCATTTACAAGTATTTATTTGGGAAATGAAAATTAAGAAACACTAAAGTAGAATGTGATGAACAAGGTTTGAGGTTTGCTTCCATCTCTTTGTGTGACTGTGTTATATCTTCAGTAAATACTTCAATCCCTTAATTTTCTCACTTACAAACTGAGAATAATTACCTCCCAAGAGCACTAGAGAACTCTTATAATAAGCATGAATTCTTCACACACTTACAGTGTAAGTATACATGTAAAGCAATGTTATCTGAGGATCCAAGGATCTAAAAACTCTGCAATGATTCATAGAACAATATACTATCCTATTGCGGATACCTCCATGTGCTTAGCAAGTAAAGCTGGAGCAACTGGATAGCTGTATATAAAAAGAACATTGACTCACATCCCAATGTACTAAAAATTAATTTGAAATCATTGATAAACATATATAAACCCCATATTTATAAAAGTCTGAGAGAAATTCATGGAAGAATAAATTCTCACAATCTTGAAGTAGCCAGATTTTCTTGGATAAGATTATAAATTGATGCAGAAACAAAAAGTAAAAACAAACAAAAAAGGACAAATTGGATTAAAAAACAAACAAACAAAAAAAGGCACAAGCCACTGACCAAGAGAAACACTCATGTATGTATCAGATATAGGCAGGTATCTATTGGTGTACATGCAGTGGAGCTCAGGGATATTAACATGAAGGATGTTTAAGAGGGCAGGAACACAGAAGTAAAGATACTGAGAATGACAATGAAAATGAGAGCATTTGATGAAAATATTTAATTATTGCCACAGTTAGCAAATGATTTCTTCTCTCAGAAACTCAGGTTGAAATTCAATCCCCATGATGGGATATTAGGAGATGAAGTCAGATGGAATCCTTAAGGGTTGATTAAGGCTCTGCTGGACAAACCTCAGGAATCAATCCATTTATGAAGTTTAGGTTTAATGGGTTGCATCAAGAGTGAATCTGCTATAAAAGCCACTTTGGTTAGGCTTCTCACACACCCTGTCTCTCACCATGTGAAGCCCTGCACTGTGTTGGGATTCTGCCAACAAGAAGGCCATCACCAGGGCCCTTTACCGTGGACTAGAAACATTGGCAAAAAATAAACCATTTTTTTTTCTTTATAGCTTACCAGGTCTTGGTATTGTGTTATTAGCAACAGAAAATGTACTAAGTTACTTATCTATGAATCTTAGACATGCTGGGGGTAGGGGTGGAAAGAAGTAAATTCAGGCAACTTCTCGGAGTTTTAACTTTTCTGATTTTACAGATCCAAGTAGGAAGTCACCAAAAAGGAGTTAAGTGTAGCAACATAAATTAGATCATGAAATTTTTATGTATTATGTATGTATAAAGTGTTGTTGAAGAAAACCCAGAATTTTATAATTAACACAATATCATATCTTAAATGTGTCTCAGAGTTTCATTTATCAACCAAACCATGATATTGAAACCACAAGAGTCAAAAGCATGATCTCAAATGTTAAAGTAGAGTTTTACACTGTTGATGCTAATTTCTGTATCTCTAGGAGAAGCAAATGGCTTCATATATTAGAACCAGTTTCAGAAATTGGGTCCTAGGACATTTTTGAAGTCTAAATGTACCTTCTTTCTTTGTACAGATTTCAAACTTGTGCAACTAGGGCAATTTTCAGATTTCTGAAAATTCAGGATAACAAATAGACATAGATATTATCTTTTTAACAGCATGGTAGTCAACTGCCTTGTTTTTACTAAAAGTAGCATGATTTATATATAAGCAAAGGTAGCATGACAATTGATAATCCTAAATCTCAGTTTTATCCAAATTATACTAACATGAGTATCTACCCTAATTTAGACTTTTTTTTTAAAGAGAGAGAGAGAGGAGAGAGAGAGGAGAGAGAGCTACCACTTGAGCCACATCCCCAGCCCCCTAATTTAGACTTTTACACCAACCCTCAACCACTCTATCATTCTTTCCCTACTCTATATTTACTTTTTTTTTTTTTTTTTTGCTAGCCTATATCCTCTTCTACATGCTTAATCATTTTTCCTGTCAGTTTTCTGTCAGGATCTTTGTTTTGTTCATGAAGGTATCCAAATCATTTGGTACCTAACTCGATAGATTATCAATGAAGCAAATTATTTAAACTCATACTTCAAAAATAAAATTCTGAGGCTGGGGTTGTGGCTCAATGGCAGAATGCTTGCCTTACATGTGTTAGGCACTGGGTTCAATTCTCAACACTGCATATAAGAAAAATTTTAAAAAGTAAGATTCTGTCCTTTGTACTATATGTAATTTTTACTTCGTAGGATTAAAATGTTTTATTAAGCTTTGATGAACAGATGTAGCTACACCTAAATTTAATTCTGTTTCACAGCATTTTTATCTTGTCCCTGGCCTATCTAAATATAGCTATTTTGTGCAGTTGTCTAAATCAAGGCCTACCTTATATAATACTGAGGAAATAACAATGGTGAAACTATAGTAATAATGTTTCATTGTGTGGTGATGATATACAGATTCTTTCTGCTGGATAAACCTCCAGAGTTCTTTTTATGCTTTTGTGTCAGTGAGCTCTATACCATGGGTAGTGAAAGTTAACAACAAAGTTGATGAATATAAAAATCAACCAAAGTAATTTGCTAATATTTCTTCATTGACTTTATCTAACATAACTAAACACAAACTGACAGATTGGGTATGACCATTTCTTTTAGTGGAATCAGTAATGCCCAAGAATGAAATATCTAGGAATAAAATAAAATCAGATTATATACCACCTTGCACATTTTTGGAAGAAAAATGTCTATATTATTATGCATGCCTAAGAGTTTTTGTTTGGGAGAGTGGCAAGAGCCCCAAATAATGAAATTTGCACAATATTCTTGTTTGCTGATTTTAGAAAATTTGCTATTTTGCTATAAGATATACATCACATTGAATGGAAAATTATCCAATAAAATTATAAAACTTCTCTTGATAGAGTTTTTAACTCTCTAACAATGAAAGTGAATGTTAGATATTATAACTTCATCCAACACAGATGACAGTTTTGTAGATTGTCTCACTTCTCCATGTATATATATATATATATTTTTACAGACTTGATATTTCATTACAGATACATGGATATATGAGAGAAAAGTTCGGAACTTCAGTAATAGCCCATGCAGCTGTATTTAGTGTATTTTGTTCATAGTGGAAATACTGGGGAAATTATTTGTGGAGAAAATATGAGATTGAGTAAAGAAGATCTTGTTGCTAAATGTCAATTGAGTTACCTTAAATAATTCAATATTGTCTATGATTCCCACAATGACATAAAAACTATTTAGATGTTTTATCTTAAATGAAATAGCTACCTTGAGAGAAAGTTTGTAAGAATTTTCCAGAATTGAGACTGGAGTTGTAGCTCAATAGTAGAGTGTGTATGTAGCATACATGAGGTCCTGCGTTCAATTCCCAGCACCACAAAAAGAAGAAAAAGGGAATTTTCCAAAACTATATGAGCATGTGTATCATGAACAGATATTGCATTAAAAACTACTGTTGGTCAGATAAATTTAATCACAAATAAATTTCATTTTATGCCTATTGTTATAGACTAGTTCCTGTCATTCCTGAGTACCATAACAGTTTGACTCCAGTAGCCCTTGCAGATACTAAAGTCTTTGGAAGCTCAGGTTTATTATATGACATATTGGCTCATAATCTATGCACATTCTATCCACATTTAAAATCTTCCCTAGATTACTTATAATGGCTAACATTATCCCTCCTACTAATTTTATACTCTATTGCTTAGGTAATAATGACAAGAAAAAATTTAAACATGGTTAGTACAACTGCAATTTCTTTTTGAGTATTTTTGATCCTTGGTTGTTAGAATGCATACATGTTGAGCCAATGAATGCCAAGGGCAACTGAATAGTCAGTTGGTAATCTTAATAATGACACTAAGACCTGGATTTCTAAAATTATTCCTGAGGCTAGAAGGTATATTTTTACATACCAGTTGTTTGTAATTTAGCTGGCAATTCTTAATGTATCTAAGTTAGGTAAAAAAAAAATGACTTGCGGCTTTTAATGAAGCTTCATATTAAAAATTAATACTTTTCCCTTAGAATACTTTTCAAAAGGTTTCTGGACCATCCTTGCTCTATGTAGTGACTTCATTATTCTATATGAAGGTCCAATATAATCAACTATAATATTAGTATGAAAAATCCTAAA